GCCATCAGCCTTGCTGGTCTATTGTGTCTGGGATGCAGTGTTTCTCCTAAGCTTTTTGGTATACCCAGGTGTCTTTCTGATGAAAGCAGAGTTGTTGCTTAGAATTTACTACTATGGGAATTTTAGATGCCTCAGACTGATTTTTTTAAAAAGCTCTGTTGCTAATGGTACCTCATTTTATCCCTTTTATTGGGTATGCTGTGTGGTTTACAGGCTTAGGTTGCAATCAACAACATCATCAAAAACAAAAATCGTCATGGTGATTACACACATGTAGAGGAAACAGTGCATAGGATTTGATACAAATAGCATGTGCCTTTGGGTTTTGTTTTGAGGCTAGGACTGTAACTTATGTGAGAAAACTGCCTCTTCTTCTGGACAATTAGATCAGAGAAGCTTACCATGTTTTCAAGGTCAGGCTGGCAGACCGAAAAACAGCTGTTAAACTGCCAGTTTTGTGCCTGATGGTAAAACTGAATTATAGTTTCTGCCTTGAACACTCGCACTTTAAATGTCAAAGTTATGTTAAGGAAAGTTATGCCACAGTCTGGTGTGCAAGGTGCATGATAACATCTGGTCCCTTGGCCAAGAATCTGGTGTTGCTTCTCCTTTCCAATGCAGGGAAGGTGGAGGAGGATACACTATGCTAGTGCCTGGAGGTTCCAGTTGATAATGACAGGTTTTGCTCTCTCTTCTTTTTCCCTACAAAGCAAAAGGAAGGATGACCAAAGTAGTCCCAGCTGGCACTTGATTGGGTCCTTTTTCCTCTTCCGTGTGCAGGAAAAGGAACAAAGTGCTCTGAGCCAAAACCTGCAAACACCAGTGACCAAAATCCACCAAACAGTGATACCTTTATTGGCCAACCAAAATGCACAATATACTTGTTGCAAGCTTTCGAAGCTCCACTGGCTTCTTCATTAGGCAAGATGTTACAAACTAAACAGGAGAAAAAATTGGAGAGGTTCGTCAGATGCCTGCATTTTGATATTTCTGTCCTTAGTTAAGATGGTATGGGGACGGTATCTTTTGCAGACTGGTCCCTTCTCTTTCTAGTCATGTTGCTGTTGGGAGATTTGCAAAGCCCAGGAAATTTAAACTCCATTTGCGTCTCAACAACCAGTGACCAGTTTACCTCTTCCACCTTTTCTTGCACTCCCATTGCCTCTAAGTAGCCTTTTCAGTGGCTGTTCCCATCCTCTGGTACTCCCTTCTGCAAGAGGCTAGGGTGGCCCCCTCCCTGCTCTCCTTTCTTTGGCAAGCGAAAACATTTCTATTTAAGCAAGCTTTTAATGGTCAAGAAAAGAAGATTCTTATTTGTTGTGCTCTGAGCCAAAACCTGCTATGAGCCTTCAAGTCGTTTCCAACTTATGGCAACCCTAAAGCAACCCTCTCATGGGGTTTTCTTGGCAAGTTTCTTCAGAGGGAGTTTGCCATTGGCTTCATCTGAGGCTGAGAGAGTGTGACTTGCCCCAGGTCGCTCAGTGGGTTTCCATGGCTGAGCTGGGATTCAATACCCACTGTCCAGAGTCACAGTCCAACAGCCAAACCACTACACAATGCTTCTTATTTTGGATTTATGTTTTATCTGATTTTAAATTTTATATCATTTTAAAGTGATTTCATAGTGTTTTAATATGGAGATTTTTAATGGTTTTTAAAACTTTATTGTAAATGTCTTTTGATTTGTTATCTCTGGATAACAAGGGTCCCATCCTGGGAGAAAGATGTTATATAAATGAAGAAAATAATAAATAAATGGCATATTTTGGAGATGGAGCTGAAATTGCCTAGGGATTATTATGGGGTCATAGTTTCAACATCCCCATAAGTACAGATTGAAGAAAATGAAATTGGTAAAGTCTGATTCAGATTCTACTCACTGAAGGGTTTCTGGATGAAAAGGATTCAAAGCCCGCCAACTTTAGTAATGACTGAAGAAAAAGGCATGTGGTAGAAGATGTCAGAAGCAGAAACCCGAAGAAGAAACTACAAAGCAAAAACCGGAAGAAGAATAAACCGGAAGCAGAAGAGCCTGTGGAAAAATCTAATGACTTTAGACTGATGGAAACAGCTTAAGGATGAGGGAAGACCACACAGCAAGGCTGAAATGATTCAAGAAGAGCGCTGGATAAAAATCTGTCTGTGTGAAGAAGGAAACTCCAGAGGCAGCCTTAAAGACAGCTTTATGTGGTCATAGTGATAGCAGAAAGTACTAGACCTGAGGCAACAGCAGGTGTTGGACTGAGGAAGTCTGGAGAAAGTCATATATTCAAGTGTACAGCAGAAGGAACTGGCAAACCCACCTCTGGGTATTCCTTGCCTAAGAAAACCCTGTAAAGTTCAGTGGGTCACCAGATGTCGACAAGCGATAAGCACACACACACACACACACAGCATTCCAACCTGAGAAAAATCTGACATCTTTAGTCCTTCTAACTATTTGAATTGGGATAGAAACATATAATGTAATTGGTTCAAGCTTGGTTAGGAAGAGTTTCTAGTTCTTTAACATATCCAGTTTATTACAAGGTACAGTAAGATGTTGTTGTGTGCCTTCAAGTTGTTTCCAATGTATGGGTCCAAAATTTTAAAAGCCCCTGCTCAGTGCTAGGGAATCCTGGGAATTGTAGTTTATTGTGGTACCAGGCTGGATGGTCATCAGTCACAGGGAGTGCTTGGATTATGTCTTCCTGCATGGCAGAAGGGGGGTGAACTGGATGACCCTTGGGATCTCTTCCAACCTCATAATTCCATCAACTATGAGAACCAATTGTCTTGGAGAGAAAGGGGCAAGTCCATTTTCTGTAGCTTGACACTGGTGTTTTCTTGAGCCCCCAGACACTTTCCTTTCAATAGCAGGAGTGACAAGAAACTGCTGGATTCCAAAAAGACCCCATAAGCTCAGCACCTTGTTGCTTGTCAAGAGACTGGGTGAGACATCTTTTTGAGCTGTGAGCAACCTGCCTTCCCTCACAGCCATTTATTCTAAGAACTGTGTAACATTTAAGATTTGAGGTCTGAAATGTTTTATTCTCTTGTTTCGTTCCCCGGTGTGTACTGTGCGTACTTGACTATAAGTTGACCTCATGTATAAGTCGAGGGTAGGTTTGAGG